CATAACGCTTTTATATGTAGGTCACTTTTATGGCTTTGCTCTAAGCCATATCCGTGTCTGTATAAGAAAATAAACTTTCTACTGTTAATTTTTCATGTTGTTTATGCGCACAAACGAATTAGACATTGAGGGAAAGTTACACAAAATACGGGCTGCTAAACAGCCCGCCCTTCAAGTAATTGAAGACTGCTTATGTATTATTATGAAACCGGGCGTTCACATTATAAATCTATCTGATAACGCCCCAAAAAATTAACAAATGAGTACATCGTAACCTACAAACTCAAATTCTAGTTTAGTTTTTAACTTGTCCCTGTTTAGTATTCAAACAGTATAAATTTAAGTGCAGTTTTTCCTACTTATTACTAAAACCATTTTAAAGTGAACAGCTACATCAAGTGTTGTTGCTATAAACTGTAATTTGAAACATTACATAGCAAAATCCCTTAATCACGGCCTGCTGAGGCTAGAGTTCAGTGTTCTTAATGAAACAGGTCTATGGTTGAGAATGGAGGAACTTAGTATTAACATTAATAATTATCTGGCAAAACAAAGACAAGTCTTAAATAAATGTACAGAGGTTTTTAAAGGAAAATGCAACTTGCATGAATCAATGAATTGATTTTGATTTGTGATTATAATGAACAAGAGAATGAAGAAATTCATCGTAACGAAATTAAACATAATTCAAATAAAAAGATGAGAAACACTTTGTAGTCTTTAGCAATAAGGATTAAAAAAAAGATCGCCACTTAATTCACGTGAGTATCAAGAATTTGAAATTGAGAACATTTCAGCAAAAGCCCAGTACATAAGAATACGGTTTAAAAATAAAAACTATTAGAATAGAAAGTGAAACTTTACAAGTTAAAACAGACATTTATAGCATTAAAGTTTAAGAAATCGTCTCAAAAATAATGGAAAGCTTTAAATATGTACAAAATGAGTAGGTATTGATAAATCTACAAAAATCTTGAAAAATAGATATATTACAAAACAAAGAAAAGCATTGAAATTTGTAAATATGAGAGATGGTTTAGAAATCATTTGGAAAATGGCCGTCAAGATAAAAGATCGTAAGCAAAGCAGGTTAAAAAACGAAAAAGAATATATTTCTCTAAAATTGAATTTAAACGAAATATATTTCATCAACAACATTATAGAATTTATCCTGCAAACAAGAAGCAAGTTCGTAATTCTTTACATAACTAAGAAGTGGATTTCTCCAGTAAAGTTTTTAAAAGGTACAAATTTTATCAAAGATATGGAAGAAGGAATTTTGAAACTGGTTGGCAAGCTTGAAATTATTTGCATACCGAAGAAGTGGATTCCTCAAACAAAGGCCTTACAAAAAATATATTTCATCAAGAATATAAGATAGAAGTAATTTAAAAAACTTGGAACTGACATGGAAGTTTCTGAAAGAAGCCAAATAGACTGATCAATACAGAAAGAATAACAACCAGAAACTATAACAAAATACTACTAAGAAGAAAAATTTAGATATAGAGGAGGCTAATACCAAGAAAATACCCGGAATTAAAAACGAAACTAAGCTTAAGCACAATGTAATAAAACTACTAAATAAAAGGTTTAACTTTTACCTTAGATAATAATATTGATGAACTACAACTGAAGCTTGTTCTTAGTGAATTGAGTAGAAAACGAAGACTCTGATAATTTTTCGGGAAGCAATAACGAAGTTGGGCGTTTCAACATTTTATCAAAACCACACGAGAGTAAGGCCTTACAAGAAATTTTAACTAAGAATATCATGAGGACCTTGTTTTTAAATGATTACCACCTAGAATATCAGGATGTCCAATTCTAGGGTTCACGAATCAGATTACTGAACCTATAAGTAATATTCTTGATGTAATAATCTTTATTTTCCAATGTTTCTTGTACTATTATAGATGACAGAGATTTCATTACTTAATAAAATGGAAGAGAAATATATATTGGTATATTTGATGTAACAGCTTTATTAAGAATAAACATAGTTTAGGATTAGAAACTGTTAAATGCTTTCTAAAAAGTTTTAAAATCTTTTACAATTCAGATTTATCTCTCTTTTTATTTTAGAGTGTTTAGTTTTAAATAATCATGTTTTATCTTTAAACAGTGGGATCTAACATCAATTCTAGCACTATGGTACGAAACTAGGTCTCATATAACCAACAATAGTAATGAGTTTCTTTGAGAATAAAATGTTTGATTTATTATCGCATTTTTTTAACAGGTATTTTATTAACTATTTATAGATGACTGTTTTGTAACATGAAATCTTTTACATAACTTTGATTTCTGTCAACTAAACAATGACATGAATCCCTGTTTCCGTTTTATAAGTAAAAGGAATGCTAAACAATTTCCGTTATTGAATATTATGGTTATAATATCTGAATATAGATATTTAAACCTCATATTTATTACAAACATACCAATACTCTTATATATTTAGATTTTCAAAGTAACTATTTAAATAGTGCAAGCTAAATACATGGTTGAGATCGTTATTTAAAGCAATTTTGAATATGCAAATCAGCAAGTCACGCGAAACTAAAGCCGATATAAAAACGCGGTAGAACATAATTTATCAGAACTGTTTGTTTGTTTGTTTTTTGTTATGCACAAAGCTACACAAGGGCTATCTGTGCTCTGCCCACCACGGGTATCGAAACCCGGTTTCTAACGTTGTAAGTCCGCAGACATACCGCTGTGCCACTGGTGGGCTTATCAGAACTATATTTTGAAATTGTTTGGTATAGCGTAGGTACTGGATGCCACCAAAATTAATAGTTTTTTGGAGAAAGCATGTAACAATCCTTTCCGATGCAAGATATGCATACACTAAGATGATAAAGATGTGCTTATATCGGTGACTTGAAATTCCCAAGAAGAGGATATCTCTTAGACTATTTAATTATTTATTCGCCCATATGACTCATTAAAACGATGACCTCTCATTGAACTTCTAGCCTCGAGCAGGGTGAAGGAGGATTGCTAATCTTCGAGAACCCCCTGATTATTAATTATTTCTTTTGAAATAATTAATTTTAAATCAAAATAACTGCCAGGAATAAATAAAAAATATCCCTTAGATTTAATGACATTATAAAACAAAGGAATATGGATCAAATTGTGATATCCTGACCATTAAGAAATAAATATACGACAAGTTGTGCCCAAGCCATGGTAAGAAAAGTGTGGCGCCTTGTAAAGGATGATAATCTACGAACACAAAGATCAGTAGTGAAATCCCTCCATGTGTCCTGGCAACAGCACGCAATATAACCCAAATGGATCTTCATTTGAAAAAGTGACACAAGTGACGTGTTTTTTCCACGACATATTCTTTCAACTGGATAATGAAACGAATATTCATGTTATTCCATACGAATACATATCATTCAAGTCGCCAGACGCATTGTCATTAGCTTTCCATTCGATTGGACTGTTGAAATTGGTACTGGGAAATTGTCGTCCTCGTAAACCAGGTGGTTAATAGGAAAGCATGCAAGGAGAAATGGTTCACTACTGACATGACGTCTTATGACTAAGCCCTTTGCAATGGAAAATACGCTGCAGGGCTATTTTCAGAATGCACTGTTGTCAGATAGAGTATGATGAACGTGGGCAGGAGTACTGTAACGTCGTGGTGAGGCTTTAAAATAGTTTTATTAACATACTAAACATCTCTTTATGAATACTTAACAAAAAATCTTGCCCAAAATGTTTTGAGTTATAATGGTGTTCAAATTTTCTTGTTTCATTAGGGTATCGCGATTCCGTGGGTAATCCCACTAAGTCTCATTTACTCTAAAACGTGAAACAAATGGTTAAACCAGTATGAACTTAGAACATTCTAAAACTATAAATCCTCAACAATTGTTAAAATTCTTAACGATGACCCTTTATCACTTACCATTCAACGTGAGGAAAAAATCCAAAAATATCTGAGAGAATTAAAAAAACAAAAATATAATATCCGAAAGTATCGTTATCCTTTTTATCACTTGTGAAATTTCGTTTTCCTTCGGACACATTGATTGCTAATATCCTAAAAAATATTTTAATTATGAAACACTTCTCTATTTTAGGCTTAAGCGCTTATTCTAAACTTATTATAAAACAAGAGTTTAATGGTGTGAATCAGAAAAGATTGAGAAACATAAGCAGCAGCAATGTCATTATTTTCCATGTTGTAGCTGGATATGTTATTATTGTATATTTTGACTATTATGGGAAACAAGTGAAATTTTATTTACAAACTTTGACTTATATAATTTTGTTGTGGTGTGATTTTTGTTCAAACTCAACTATTTACAACAGCTGCTGCAGTAACGATATAGGGGCTATTCTCTAAAATATCTTTTATTTTTCAATATATGGAAATTTTTAATATAAATCTGGTTTGCTTTTGGGCTACTAGCTTAGCATGCCAAATTTGGTCTGGATCGGTTAATTCGTTTAGGAGGAGATGCGTCCACAGACAGACAGAAAGTTTCCTTGATATTGAATACTTACCGCACCGGTGTGTCTTAATGTGTATAGTACATTTGTGAAGAACACCTGTACCCCAATTTTTATACTCAGCTATGTTTCCCTCGGCAGAGCTGGACAATCGAATAAGTGTCAAAATTATACTGCATCACACTTGATAGTGGATGTAACTGACCATATGTACCGAGAGAAAAGTTTGGTGTATTCCGTAATGAATGTAAATAACTACAACTAAAAACAAATAAACTGACTCGTGCAAGGAACTTTAATCACACTTTTAAATAAACGAATGATGTTTCTTGAAGTTGATGAATAAGAGTATTTATAACGGAAGAGTGTTAGAAACATTACATACCTCGCTGTTGAGTTAAGTAAATTACTGTTTTTATATTGAATCTCTGATTTGAAAATACATTTTCTACTCCAAAAGAAAAAAATGGTTTGTATTATGCTGTATATGTGTAAGTGTATGGATTACTTTTTACTTTCATCAGGTGACTCCATCACTTCACCATTGCTTTCCCGGAGAATCAATAGATACCACAAAGAGGACTAAAACCCCTAAACACAGTGTGGAAGATATTGTAAAGGTGCTCTGTTTAAGATCTACGTTCGTTTTTCAATGGCGAGAAACACACCAAAAGACTCCACTGCCTTTAACAATGGTATTTGTGCACGCGAGAGCGTGTGTGAAAATTATATCTATTTCATCCCACATATTTCGAAATATTTCTACGAATCTACTATATTATACAACTGAAGTACATGAAGTTAACCCTAACTTGTAAACATGGTTTATTTGTTCTGTAAATGAAGTTCTGTAAATTTTAAGAGTTTTTACTAACAAAATGCAAAATAATATCCTTAAAAACAACGCTGTATAGAATTATCTATCAATTGTCATCTACATCTTTCTTCTTATATGTGTGTATGTGTGACTGTTATTTTCTATGTGTATTCATTTTTAACGTTTATGTGTGAGGAACAACACACATAATTACATTTATTACTATAAAATAAACTGCTGTGATTCAAGATTTCTTATCAACAAATTAAAACAGCACTGGTATATTCATCATAATTCCCAATATTAAAATTTATTTTCATTAGGTAATTGGCCTAACTGCTCTAAGACGAATGGCATGCGTTATAGAAGAAGTACACCGTCCTCTTTCAACGTGGGAATTTGCCTTTTCGGTAAGAATATCTTTCCTAAGATTTTCTTCATCTACAATATTTCATTTTTAACTTTATACTTCTTAGCATCTTTTAACGCCCTCTAAATAGCTTTTTGAGGAAGCTCTTAATTCTTCACATTTTTTCTTTCCTTCAAGATTTACTTTTTGTTTAACTTTGTACGATAAAGCTTATTTTAACGCTTCTAATTAGTTTTCTGAGTTAGGCCTTCTCTCTGTTTCCATGTGGGTCAATAGTATGTTTGATGACTACAATGCTAATATTCGAGGTTCGACTCCCCACGGTGGACAGAGCACAAAAAGCCCATTCTGAAGCTTTGCGATCAAAAAATAGCACCAAAGTCTTCCTTCTTCTGAGGTAAAGCACTATTAATAATATACTGTAACCAACTAAATAGTATGGCATGCAAGGTTTGTGAATCCTAATATGTTCAGAGTTATTGGATTTCTGTAACTTTAATGATACCAATGAAAGCAAACAAAATCGTCAATATTTAGTATCACCATGTCATTGTGACATTAAATCACAATAATACTGATAACTTTCATCACATCTTCTTTTTGGCTCAATATACAGGTGTCGAATACTATAAATATAATGTAATATCACCAGAGAAATAGTGCAGGATGCGTGGGCTCACGTGCAAATTTTACCATCGATCCAATCTTTTTGTTTATACATATCATTTTATACTTTCAACACAAAGACTTAACAACAATATTAAGTTATATAAAAGCCATTGTTGGAACGCACTGGCATTTCTATATATTATAACCACTTCTTTTCCATGTGGTTTTTCGCCATATTGCCTCATGAATAAGATGTACACGCGCGCACGTGCTTGTCTGACTGTGATGTATATCTATAATTTGTAATATAAGAAACCACTTCTTTTCTATGTAGTTTTTCGCTAGATTACCTCATTAGAAAGATGCGCACGCGCGTGGATAAGATAGATAATAATACCCAGGTGCAAACCCTCAGAGTCCATTTAGTATGGGAGCAAAATTTCAGGTTTATAGATTCTTTCCTCTTGGAGCTATGGTAGTTTCATTTCTTTCCTATGTGGTTTTTCGCATAAAAAGATGCGCATGCGCATGCAGGCATGCACACACGTAGATAAGTAATAATACACAGGTGCAAACCCTCAGGGTCCATTTAGTATGGGAGCAAAATTTCAGGTTTCTAGATTCTTTCCTCTTGGAGCTATGGTAGTCACATTTTTTTCTATGTTGTTTTTTGCATAAAAGATGCGCACGCACGTAGATAAGTAATAATACCCAGGTGCACATTCTCAGGGTCCACTTAGTATTGGTGCAAAACTTCAGGTTCTAAGTTCTTTATTCTTAGTGCTATGGCGGTCACATATTCTTTTTGATGTGATTTTCTCTACCTTGCCTCATAAAAAATGCACACGAACGCACGTTCGTAACTAAATAATAATAATACCCAGGTGCACACTCTCAGGTTTCTAGGTTCTTTCCTCTTAGAATTATGGTGGTAACACACACACACAAAGATGCGTCCTTTTATTATAGATTTTAATTAATCTTTACAAATTGTTTGAACTTTATAAATTTTGTGCTTAATATTTTATCTTGTTCAATATAGCTTGCTGAAGATGGAATATGTATATTTCAAAACGTTCAAGAATTAAAAATATAGTTTACAACAGTACCAACTCAAATGCTTTACATGCGAGAAAACATAGACTTTAAAAATACCAAAACTGACTAAAATAAAGTAAGATTTTTTCGCTTGAATTCCGTAAAGCATTTAACCATTACACTACATTTTATTTCACTGGTATATGGGTCAGCTTTATATCACATGAGTTTATTTGTCTGTTTTTGACTAAAGTGCAAAGCTACACAACAGGTTATCCGTGCTGTGCGTACAACAGGTACCAAACCCCAATTTGTAGCATATACGCTCTCAAGTCACTAGAGCGCAAGTCTAATTGTTAAAGAGAATTGAGAAATACGATTTCCCGGATATGACGCTTCTTCTCATAATTCATTTTTGAAGAAATGTTTTTTTAATTTGATAATTAACAGTTTAAGTGATGCATTAACAGATGAAACTTTAAGTTTAGTTTCGAACTTCTCCTTAAAAAAGAAAGTTTAGAAATTTCTCAGGGAAACAGGGTTTTAATAACATTTTTTAGAAATGGACAAGGTGTAGCTTGACGCTAGTGTTTTGAGTTACAAATTGGTAGGTCCAAGGTCTTAGCTACAATATGCAGGTTAACGCATTCATATCTCGTTATTCGAATAGCTTCACATGTCGTATGGGTTTCCTTCTCAACAGTTGTTAAAGCATGCCTACAGTACTACTGAACTGGCATATTCTTTCATTTATTGCATGTCCCTCGATCACAGGGAACTCCTAGGTATTTGAAGCTGTCTGCTTTAATGGTGTCGCATTTGCTAAAATAAGTGTTTGCTTAGGTATACATGACAATATCGTTATTTCTCATTTCAAAATACTTAGCTTCAAACCAAATTACTCAAGTACTTTGCACCATATATTTATATGTGCCTGTAGATCATCCTCGATAGATGCAACAATTCTAATGTCATCTTCATATGCAAGTGTCTCAGAATACACAGTCTTACAGTTGAGTAGAATGTACACTTTTACTTCCTTCAATACTTGAGCTATCAGCAAGATGAACAAGAGTGCGAAGCATACACTACTCTGCCGTACACCAGTGATCACTCCAAAACAATGTTCTTTCTCCGAATGAGACCTCACTGCACTTTAAACAAACTTTATACATGCTTCTTATTGCCTGGTAAAACTTTGTGTGTGTGGTGGGGGGGGGGGGGTAGGCTATATTGTTTTCTGTATTGTTTAGTACAACTTTCTTCTATGTACTCTGTCGAATGTTTCTTCCAGATCCAGGAAAGCCAAATACTTGTCCTCATTATACGACCAGCATTTTTCAAAAATCTTTTTAAAACAGAAGATAAGTCTGACGATAATTCTCACTGATCTAAAATAATGTTGCTACGCTCCTCATTTATCTCAACACAAATCCTTAGCCTTCTCTCTCCAATATTATTTTATAGATTTTGTCAATGTAAGGTTATGACACTACCTTTGATCACTTTTATGTTTGTAGGTAGGATAAATAATTATCTTGCTCTGGCCCACTGGTACATCACCTTACTCTCATACTGCATTGAAGATTCTCTGTAGCTACCTCAACATGCTTTTCCCATCATGCTTAAATATCTCTGCAGGCTGGTCAACATGCCCTGGGAATAGGTTCTTTTTCACCTGTTGCAATGCACAAGATTTTCCTTGTAAATAGTTTAATATGGGCCTTTACTTCTTTCCCTGTCCTCCTCTGGCATGCATGTATTACCCCCCTCAGTGTGCAGGAGACACTCTTTGTACTCTCTCCACCTCCAGATAATTTCACTAGGGCTAGTCAAAAGATTGTCGTCACAGTCTTTAATAGCTAAAGTAAGATTTTGATTTCCCTTTCTGTAAGATTTTGCCAGTGTGTACAAAAGATTTCGTGTTCCAAAGAAATCTTCCTTTACATCTTTTCCAAGCTTCTCTCATAATTATTTTTGTGCTTGGCGTTTAATCTTGTCGGCTAGCATTCGCTTTTCAATATATTTCTTACGGTTCTTATCCGACCTATGTTTCTTCACCCATCTTCTAAAAGCTTTAGCTTTTTCTCTAACTGTAAATTTCACCTCATCATTCCAACAGGTGGTCCTCTTCTTCTTAGTTCCTCCCATCCATTTAATGCCAACAGTATCTTTAGTAATATTTAGACATTGCGGTTTCTCCGAACCTAGTTCGATGTTATGTGAAGGCAGTTTAAATTCTACTTAAGGTAAATGGATACATTAAGGAAACAAACACAATTAGATATTTTAATTAGATTTATTAAAAATGATTAGATGGCTTCGTGACATTGTTCGTATTTTTGTCATATGCATTGGACTTCTTCTTGTATTTGAATGATCCATTATTTAGTAAGTGTGTGAAATACAACGTGATCTCGTCTGCGTGAAAGCGAAAAGCTGAAGGTTCAGTAATAAGTATAAGTTTCTTATCCCTGAAAAGACTGTAATTTTGTAAGTAAGCCTTAATGATAAGTATTTTCAGTGTGTGCCGCGTAAATTGAAAAGTAAACATAAATTTACTTAAAGTGAAAGTTTACATACACACAGACAAAAATAATGTGGCCAGCTTTGCGAAAGAAAAACGAATGAAAATGTATTGTTGTAAATTAAGCTAATATTAAACTTTATATTCCTCATTAGCAAGTGATTTTATATGTCCTATTTGTGAAAGATTTTTTTCATATTTTAATTACTTTTGTACTTTACTTCTTCCAGAAATGCTTTGCTTATGAAAGTGTGAAAAAAGTCCAAAATTCCGGTAAGTGGGAAGTGTTCTAAGTGGGAATAACCATTAGTGATCCCTACGATCGTGTCTTTCTCTAGTAATTATGACAAGTGTATTTATTAAGTAATGTCTACAAAAAGTAAGAAAGATAAATTTACACAGTGAAAACGTGTTAAATACAGTTTTTGCAAATTTGCTTATGAAAATAAAATATATACAAATTAATTTTGCTAGAGCGTTTTCAGTGTCACACATTCAATTTAAAAAACCAATATAATGTCGAAAGTTTCTTCGATTCTTTATGAAAATAAAGCAGGAAGCAAAATTGAAATATTCTTGAAATAATAATCTATAGCAAGCTGGATTTTTGAGAAAAATATAGCCTCGTTAACGTTGTACATCAGTAGATATTTGATGCACCCTGTACATATTTCTGGATGGATGTCAAAAAGTGCAGACTAGGGAGTTTTCAACAGGAAGTTTAGTTCATATCTAGTACCCAAACAATATTAACTTAGATTTAACAGGTTTTTATCGTTAGGTAAGAAGGTTTCATTAAACAACTTTACACTGATGTTCATTATTTGGTAAGGAACGAGACTGGTAGAACCCTTGTCGTTAATTAATATCCTGTTACATAACCAAAAGCTATATGATAGAGGCAAGTATTTAGTGACGAGTGCAGACGACAGTCAGAGAATATAGTTTTAGAATATTGCACATGTTCTGAATATCTACATAACTAAATTTTCACTTTTTAAGATGTAGCCTCTATAGAATTATAGCAATAAAAAGTAAACCGTTTTATACACTGGAAACATCTAGGGGTTATAGGCCCTTACTTACTTCTCATTTGAAAGTAAATTAAATGCGTCGCCCCCAGTGGCTCAGCGGCAAGTCTGAAGGCGAATAACGATAAAAACTGTGTTTCGATATCTGTGGTGGGCACAGCACAGATAGTTCATTGTATAGCTTTGCGCTTAACAACAAGAAATGATTAAATGCGACGCCGGCAGTTGCTTAATGGTTTTGGGGATCTATAGGATACGGAATATAAATGATCTGATACCGGCATCCCCCGTTTAACGCGGTTAATAAGTTCCCGAAAAACGCCAAACTACACGAAAACGCGCAAAACAAAAATCTGTTTCCCACAGGAATACATGTAAATAAAGGGGGGGTATGCGTTCCTGACCGAAAATTTTCTGGAACAGAGAGAGTTTCAAACGTATTTAAGGTATTAATTAGATACTCAAACATTAAAGACCATTAATTTAGTAATATCAATCACACGGCAACTTTCTATTAGCAGCAAGGGAGTTGAAGATGATTTTCGCTTAGCAGGCAGGATTAGGGATAAAGTTATTTTGTATATTAATCCTAATTATTTCACAATGGCTGTTATTTACATTGAATAATGATTTAAGTATACGGTATATAAATACCACGTATACCGTAATACAATTCATTTTGAAATAAGCTCAATTAATGCAATCGATACTTGTATTTGCACAGAAAGATGCTACCACGAGACAAACTGAGCATATAACATATCTTATGCATGCGCAGCTGCGTTGGAAAGTCCCATGTTCGATTTCAAACCGCGCTAAGTCGAAAATTGCTATCGCGTCCGGTCGTGCCTAGAAGTGAAAAAAAACATTCGATAAAATATGGTACAATAGACTCAGATACAAACTGTTCAAATTAGGACTTCCCACAGAAATTATTCGCTGGTTTTCTAACTTCCTGGAAGACACGAGCATCAGAGTAAATGTTGAGGGCACTTACTCTGAGTGCTGCACTCCGGAGGCGGGTGTTCCTCGAGGAGGAGTACTTAGCCTTACCCTGTTTATCATGTATGTCAGCGACATACCTATCAAAGACCCAAACTATACTTTTTGCTCACAGTTCGCAGATAATGTTGCAATCTGGAAGAGCAACGTACAATATACAACCACTACTAAACGACATAGAATTGTACTGCAATAAATTGAGAAATAAAATTAATTCGCGCGAAACACAAGTCATATTATTAACAAAATCGTACAAAACAATTAAATTAATACCACAGTTATATCTAGACGGAACTCTCTTATAGGTAGCAACATCAGCAAAATTATTATGGATTACATTAGACTCAAAATTAAACTGGATATCACACATAAAAACCAGATTTTGATAAAAAGCGAGAGATGCCTGTATAACACAGATGAATGTATCAAAAACACACATTAACAACCTACAGCAAATACAAAAATATATTTTAATGAAAGTATTTGGAGTCCCACGAATGGCCACGATCAACAAACTCTGTATTTCTACATAACTATTTTAAAATGCCAACTATATCAGACAGACCCCAAGATAACTCGCTTCAATATTAATAAAGAATTAACTGATGAGCAAACTAAAGAGTTACATAATACATGATGAACCAAACCTTAAGTACCTCTCTCCTCTAAACATTCTAAATATGAAACTTACAGGCCAAACAATGCTAGGTTAATTGAATCCTAAACACAAACGTAGCTCTATTTTAAAATAAAGTTTTTTATGTACAAAAATAGGATTATTTGTATGTGCGGAACTGTATTGTGAACATGGACTAATAGTGCGATCATGCATGAACTGGACATGGCATAAAAAAGGCCATGTTAATTACAAACTGTGGACAATTGACAAAATTTAATATACTGTGAGTAATGCAACAACATAACAAGGGTTATTATCTAGGAGTCGGCCCGATATGGCCAGGTGGTTAGAGCGCTCGACTCGCAAGCTGCGGGTTCGAATCCTCGTCACACCGAAACATGCTCACCCGATGTCCGAACTATACACTAAGTTTAACTCTATGCATTAGATAACTCGTACGTCTGTTTCCCTGCGAGTAGGGGTGGGAGGGGATTATCTAATATTTCTTCTTATTTTTGCTTTATTAATCATGAGGGTCGACTGATAATTTTCTGTCTACTCAGTGAATTGAAACTCTTGTGTGGTATTTAACTGGCTGATTTTAAATTTTGTGACCACCATATCCTGTTAACTTAATACAATGTACTCTTAAGAATTTTTATTTCCATGAGTAGGTAATATATATATATATATACAAAACACAAAATGAAAATTACATTTATTCACATTTGAAATATTTTGAAAGATGTGCCATTAAACAATTTAATTGTTTGCCCTTGAATTTACGAGGTTACAATAAAGAATAAGTTACATGTATTAGCCAATCTACCTTAACTTGACGTATTTGAATATTCTGAATCTGTTATAATCTTTAGATCAACTCTGAATTATCATAGATGCATTTTATAAACTCATTCTAAGAACTATGCACGATAATGTAAACATCCATGTTTCTTCTTATTCCTTTACATTCGTTCTACTTGCACTTAATATTTTCACTGGAGAAGAATGGAACTGTCTGTCGAACTAAACGTTTCCCTGAAATAAATAATGTACAACAACATCATGATTCATTGTTTTTAATAAACAAAACATCTTGTCAGGTAGAATTTAACTGCATTATTGTCCTCTTAAGTAAGGGATTATTACTAGAGTTTGGTGAACAACACTATTAAAGGGTAGTGGGATGGATTGTAATTTTTGCAGTTTTTATTTTGTGAATTTTGAAGACTTATTTATAGTTTAAAACCAAACTAAAGCTCCTTCAAGTTTAATTTTGAAACATTCAGTAACTAATACAAAGTAATCTTCTTTAGTTTTTGGTGATAATTTAACTAAACAATATGGTATATGCGCAGGAAGGATTGTTAGACATTTTTTTGCGTATCCGCTAGCAGTAGGGATTGTTAGATATTTGTTTTGTGTGTTTATTCCGCTAGCGGTAGGGATTGTTAGACATTTTTCTTTCTGTTTATTCCGCGAGCAGTAGGGACTCTTAGATATTTTTTGTGTGTATCTTCCGCTAGCAGTAGGGATTGTTAGGCATATTTTTTGTGTTTATTCCGCGAGCAGTAGGGATTGTTAGGCATATTTTTTGTGTTTATTCCGCGAGCAGTAGGGATTGTTAGACATATTTTTTGTGTTTATTCCGCGAGCAGTAGGGATTGTTATAAAATAATAAAGATAACATTTAACATACAATTCTCAGTATTTGAATTAGAAAACAAGTACCAAACAACTCCTAGTACTCAAGACATCAAATAAAAAGCTCATGCGATCCTTTCTACTCGTAGTGTAAAACAAAAGGCAGTTCCTCAATATTCCCGAAATAAAAAATCCCCCCAAAAAAAAACAACAAACAAACAAATTTCACATAATCCGACTCACAATCTGCGGGTCGCGGGTTCGAATCCCCGTCCCACAAAACATGCTACGCCCTTCCAGACGTGGAGAAGTTATATGTGACAGTCAGTCCCACTATTTGTTGGTAAAAGAGTAGCCCAAACGTTGACGGTGGGTGGTGATGACTAGCTGCCTTCCCCCTAGTCCCGGGGTCACCAAACTATGGCCCGCGAGGTCAGTTCATCCGGCCCGCCACTGCACTGTGCCACAAATGAGCTAAAATATAATTATTTATATGGAAATATCATAGATTGTAGATAAACGTACTATGTAAAAAAAAACAAAATAAGTGTAAATAAAAATGTCCAAATTTGTCCAATCTGATTTTT